GCGCGACAACCACAGTTCATTACCGTTACCACTGTAGTTTCGCTATATATTCTTCGCTCATGCCTTCGCTCATTGTACTCTTGCTTCGATAGTGCAATTCTCGCTCGCTCACTCAATTGCACTCGTAACAGGTGATAAGAAAAGGAAAGGGAAAGAGGAAGGTGGAAAGAGGAGAACATCATCTACGTAAAACATATAAGGACCAAGCACAAGAGCAGCCCTCACCACAACGCAGGGCACAGCGTTTCAAGCACAGCCGCTAAGGGCGCGTGTCCTTGATGGCTGAGTTCTAAAAAATGCTCGAGCTTTGGCTAGTAACCTACTTCGCAAATTTCGGGAAATTGGAATCGTGAAATTCGTCAATGCTACGTCCAATCAGGGAACTAACATGAACACTGAACAGGGTCGAGCTCGCATTTAAACTGTTAGTGAGCACTTTTTTCCAAACGTGTGCACCTTGTACCCCTTCGATAAAGCTGCCAGCGAAAATGATAAACTTCAGTGTGCGTACTAGCGAAGCCATCGTCAGATTATAGGCGTTGCCAACCGCCACGTGGAAACCAGAGGGCACGCGCCACCCATGCGGGTAGCCTACGAAATCTGTGTGCGAATTGTGCCCTGCTCTATAAGCTCGAACTTCAATGCCGCGAGGGAGGCCCTCTAGCATCGTCCGCAGAGATTGGTCGATCTGGTCAACATCATCCGATGCGAAGCTCTACGGAAATTCTTGCCACACATAGGAAGGGAGCAAAGAATGGGTGACGGAGCACCGTACCCAAGAGCATGCAAAATTCATAGGGGCAATACGCTCCATGTGACGAATGCCAAAACCCCCTACGCGTATGGGCAGGAAAATCTGGTCCAGGGCTGCATCGTGAACGTCATTTCTACAAGCCCAAGCCCCTGGCACTAGGAGATGCTGAAAGGTATCTCTCAACCGCGCATCTCACTGTGCAAAGCTGGCACGTACCGCTGGTGTCGGTGGGACCTTCCGCTGGCACGTACTGCGGTTGCGTGCTGACACATGCTGAGAGTAGGCAGGCCGCTGAATGGAGTTGGCGTAGTCTCAACAGCCATGGCAACACTAGCCCCATCCTCTCTGGACACTTAGGTAGTCTCCTCTCCACAAACGCGGCAGAGCCCACCGGCACTCCGGAGACGGTGAGTCCTCCACGAGCAACCTCAATCCTCAAACTCGAAAAAGTTTCCACCTCCCCGAAGGTGGCAAAATCTTGTTGGTAAACAAGACACTTGTGCGGGTGGACTGCAAGGCCCAGCTCGCTCAAGTGTCCCATGATCCCCGTGAAGTGGTGTAGCACTCTAGAGGGAGGGCCCAGCACATAGGTGTCATCTGCGTATGACCAAAGCTGGACGTTGCCCTCATCTGGTGCTGGCTTAAGAGCCCTGCGCTAGTGCATATAGAAACGAGCTGCGCGAGTCACCCTGGAGGGTGTCGCGCTCCGAATGTATGGTGGCCACTCCTGTACCTGCCCGGTAGTGGAGGTTAGAGAGTGACACGTAGAAAATGCGGATGAAAGGTATGAGGCAGCAAAACTCAGGGATGGTGTAGAGGGCCTGGAATATGGCGTCTTGATGAAACGGGTTAAAGGCGTTCGCCAAGTCCAGCTGAAGAGCGACCCAGTTAGGGTGGTCAACCAAAGCATGACCTTGGTCCTGTAGGTAACGCCCTCGTTATCTAGTCCCGCAACTGCAGGCAGACCGTTAGGAAAAGGATGTAGATCAAAGCCTCACCTATCGCGATAGGATGCACATCCAGGTTTGCTTTTGCGAGAGCGACCAGGGTGGTTGATGCCAATAGCGATCGAGCTGTCGGGGCGCAGTAGCCTTGCAGCCAATGCTGGTATATGGCGAGCAAGTTAGGAAGGCTCTGAGGAAAAGCAAGAAAGTATCCTAGAGATGCTCGGCAACCCAGCCTGTCGATCCTCGGGGCGACCCGCGTGGGGCCGTGAAGATGGCGCATCGGAGGTGGTCTACAGAGAGCACGAGGGCAGTTTTCTGGAAAGTCGATAGCCAATCTAAGGTCGGTCACTCCACGGCGGAATGCATGCTCCGCAGTTAATGCGTCGTACTATCTGTATCAGAGGCCGCTTTTGCCGACTCCAAGGACACACAGGCCCACGAGGTCTCATTGCAAGCCGCAAGACACTGGCAACGAGCAATGTGACGCTCATCCGCCGTGGGGGGGAAAATGGTTATGTGTCCATATCATGATGCCCGTCGAGGAAGGGGTGTACGTCGATTCAGGGCCTCCGAGATGAGCTCCTCCCACTCACCTCGACTAAAGCGGGTGATGCACGCTGCGATGGCGACCATGTGTGAACACTCCGATGGTGTTGCTGGAGCGAATAGGAGCGTCGGTGCCGTCGCCATCTGGGTCCTGAGAGATCCGCGCTAAGATGGCAATCAGAATGTCAAGATATACACCACAGTGGGTGTGGGTGCGCTCCGGATCAAAACACTCCGACCAACGCACCGAGTCAAGCGTATACCAATGTGCATCTGTGAACTGCATCCCTGCGGCTTGGGGCTCTGCAAGGGAAGGTAGAGCTGAGGCCCTGTTGCGCACAGCTTGCGCTCTGCGGACTACGTCGGCAGGGTGGCAGAATGGCGTGTTGTGTCGGAGTGCTCGGCGGTTCGCGAGGGAGCTCAAGCATATAAGGGGCACCTTACGACCTCATCGGGCAACGTCTCTGTGTCTGTGGGGTCGGCCGTGGCTGTGCTATCAGAACTATTTACAAAGGCAGCCTCGCTAGTTAGCAAGACACCCGCCGGAACGTCGAGGGTAGGGGGAGATGGGGCATCCCCAAAATGGCGCGGGTGAGTGGTGGGCGGGGCCGGGCGTGGAGCTGGGCATCGACTCGGTGACAGTCCTACACCTGAGGTTGGGGTCTGTGCAGGGGGTTCGTGGAGGTAGTCCGAGCCCTCCCTGAATGGGATGGTGTCCTGATGGCACCTCCAGGATGCCCAAGTGAGGACTGCCAGGTGCCTCATGCCCAGCTCTTGTTGCTGTACTTGGAGTGATAGGTGGGGCTATTGATGGGGATGAATAGAGTGAGGCAGGCCGGAGTGGTGCACCTACGTCTATATGTGGAGCACACGGTCTTTTTTAAGGCCGGTCTCCATCGGAGATAGGCAGAAGGGGTCGAGTTGGATGGGGCCCGCAAGAGAGAGGTCCTTGAGAGGGGGGGTGCAAGGGCACGTACCTGTGGGGCTAGAGGGGTGGGAACTGAGAGGGGTATGCAAGTGTGATGTATTGCCAGCAAGCCGGATACAGTCGCTCCCAAACCCGATGTGGACTCCAACGCCTCCCCGTCTGTAAGGGAGGAAGGATGAGCTGGTTCAGCGAAAGATGAGGCACGCCTTGCCTGGCCATGTGGTTGGGATGCGGGTGGATGTGGCAATGGCCTTAGCTCACCCTCCTGCCGTCTCAGTTGAGCTGTTGGGGGCGGGGTGGGGCTGCCTGCAGTGGTGGGAGGCGGGGCATGGGAGATGAGCGCAACCTCTTCTACCATTGTATCATCCCCAACTCTGGCAACCTCCATCCTAGTGCGGAGGTCACCATCCCGAGGGGCCTGCAAAGGGGAGAGAAGGATAGGTGATGGACCCAATATGAGGGGGGGTTGAAGCAGGTTGGGTAGAGGGGGTGGAGAGAATAGCTGCTGTTGGGGCAGAAGATGGAGGTGGAGTGTGGAAGTTAAGCATCCACTGCCGTTGGCTCTACACTTCCGTCGTCGACCTGCATTGGCTTGGGGAGCTGTGGCTGGTTGTAAGGGAGGGGGGGTGGGGGAGGGGATGGAAGGGTAATGTTGGCACGGTGTGATTCCTCAGCATGACACCTCCCTCCGCCCGTGGGACCTCCCGAGGTGGCAGAAGCCAGTGTCAAAGTGGCCGCCGAGCGTTGCTGGTTGTGGCGGGGTGGGTGGGTCACAAGGGGTGCAAGTGGGGAGCGATGGGCTGGAGGAGAGGGGTGGTTAGCACGGGGAGGGTGATGGTGGTGAAAGTGGTGATGATGATTAGGGTTGGGGATGGGAGCGGAGGGGCGGTACATGTCGCGTGCCCTCGTGATGTGCCCTTGTGATGTGCCCTCGTGATGTGCCCTCGTGATGTGCCCTCGTGATGTGCCCTCGTGATGTGCCCTCGTGATGTGCCCTCGTGATGTGCCCTCGTGATGTGCCCTCGTGATGTGCCCTCGTGATGTGCCCTCGTGATGTGCCCTCGTGATGTGCCCTCGTGATGTGCCCTCGTGATGTGCCCTCGTGATGTGCCCTCGTGATGTGCCCTCGTGATGTGCCCTCGTGATGTGCCCTCGTGATGTGCCCTCGTGATGTGCCCTCGTGATGTGCCCTCGTGATGTGCCCTCGTGATGTGCCCTCGTGATGTGCCCTCGTGATGTGCCCTCGTGATGTGCCCTCGTGATGTGCCCTCGTGATGTGCCCTCGTGATGTGCCCTCGTGATGTGCCCTCGTGGTGTGCAATGCTATTTGAGTCCCTCCCACCCATCACCTCTTCCGTGACCTCCTCGGCCAGGTCGCTCTTGCCTTCCTGTACCAAGAGCAGTGGCCCTTGTAGGTGGATCCCACCAGTCAGGGAATAGGGATAGGAGGGGGAGTCCCTAGCGGTGAGATGGGGTGCCGGTACTCTCCGCTGTGGAAGGTGCAGCGTGCAGGGTGGGAGGGGGGGGGGGGGGGGGGGGGGGGGGGGGGGGGTTGGTGCGGGGGTTGATGTGATGCACCAAGCGCCTCGAACATGTGTACCACAGCTCCACCTGTAGCTTACCGGTAGATCGTTTTAGAATTCTAAAGAAACCCTTGGTTGTGCCACAGCTCCACCTGTAGCTTACCGGTAGATCGTTTCAGAATTCTAAAGAAACCCCTGGTCGTGCCACAGCTCCATCTGTAGCTTACCGGTAGATCGTTTAGAATTCTAAAGAAACCCCTGGTTGTGCCACAGCTCCACCTGTAGCTTACCGGTAGATCGTTTTAGAATTCTAAAGAAACCCCTGGTTGTGCCACAGCTCCACCTGTAGCTTCAGCTGCAACCCCAACTGGTGCGGCGGCCGCCGCCCCATTTGCCACCTCTGCGATCTCTGCTGCCTTTTCTTCGGCAGCCGCTGCTCCTTCTCCACTGGCTTCTAATACCGCCCCTTCACTGGCAAGGCAACCCTCGCTGAGCTGAGCCTCCACCCTAAGAAACAGCAGGAGGGCCAGCAGGGGCGGGAGGGGAGGAGGGTTTCTAAAACTAGGTCAATGTGGAACTTCAAATTTGGTCAAATCATGTCCACGGGGGGCCAGATATTGGCACAATATATCATCAACAGTGGCCTTCGTTACTGAATGGAAACAATCAACATCGCCAGCTAGTTCATGGTCGCAGTAGGTATACACATACCAGACCTCAAATGAATAAAAGGGCATCCAACAAACACTACTAGCAGATCAATACGGGTGTGTCCTGAGTTGGAACACTGATTCAAACCAAGTTCAGACCAACAGCTTTCACTGTATGCAAAACAGCAAGAAAAACAGTATGAATAAACCAGCTCAGTATGCTTTCATCCCCATGCCACTGCCACATTATATCTTCCAGCGACACTCGCCCAGTGACAATATCAAGGCAATCTCTCACACAAACCATCTCATCAGATGCACCTCCACTGGATAACACCTGCCCCGCCACTTCCTCCCTCTCCTCCCCATCCGCGGTCTCCGCCCCGCCATCTCCTCCCTCTTGTTGACTCAGTTTCCTCATGCTCTTGCTTCTCATTAACATCCCTCCCTTCCACTCCCCTTCCTCCTCCTTCCCTCCTCCCCCCACCTCCCCATCGCTCACCCCATCCCGCGCTCCACCCTTCACAACCCCCCCTCCTCCACCCCCCTCTCCGTCCCTTCTCCCTCTCCTCTCGCCTCTCACAGCCCAGCACGCAAAAGCCGAATGAACAACGTCCTCATAAACCAAAGTCTTTGCACGAATCCCCACTCCCACTCCTCCTACTCCTGCTCCTCCTGCTCCCTCCCCTGTTCCCCTGCCGTCAGTTTTTTCATCCCCCGATCTGCCCCCCTCTCCCCCATACTTGAACTGGCTGGGAGGAGGCGAGGGGAGAAGGAAGGAGTTGAGGTGACGAAGCGAGCGGATGAGGGAGAGAGAGGTTTCGATGGGGACTACAGAGTCAGCAGTACTGCACTGAAGGAGGATGATGGGGAGGACAAGCGTGGAGGAGGGAGGGGAGGGAGAAGAGGGAACTGGAGAAGCAGAGGAGGAGGAGGTTGAAGAGGGAGGAAAAGAGGAGGAAGACGAGGAGGAAGAGGAAGAGGAGGACGGAGAGGGAGAGGAGGATGGGGGTGAGGAGAGCAGGCTCAGCTGTCCCGAAGCAAGAGCAGCCACAACAGCTTCAGCAACACCCCCTCCCAGCTCCTGCCTGAGAATGTCGAGAGGAGGGGGCGGCGACGGGGCGAGGAACCTGGAGGAGAAGCAATCAGAGGAGAGGGGGTCTGCCTCTTGAGAGGAGGATGGTTCTTGATCGGAAGGAGATGAGGCGTTTCCTGAAGGTGTCACCGCTGCTGTTGCTGCTGCTGCAGCTGTGTAAGAGGAGGAGGAGACGGAGAAGGGAGGAGGGGTGGTGAACTCTTGGGCTGGTTGGAGTGGTGAAGAAGCTGGCAAGGATGGCGCTGGAGGTAGCATGGCGGCAGCTGGTGTGGCATCAGTTGGTGTGGCATCAGTTGGTGTGGCATCAGCTGGTGTGGCATCAGTTGGTGTGGCATCAGTTGGTGTGGCATCAGCTGGTGTGGCATCTGCCAGTTGCGTGAAAGCTGATGACTTGAGGAGGTGGGATCGAAGAGCCTGCTTAGCTGCTTCTTTTGACGTTGCTCTGTTCACTGCATCTGCAACAGAGGTGGGATTTTCTCCTCCTGAGATTGCGCTTCCCCTTCCTGTCCTGGTCACAGACATACCAGCATCACTTGCACCTGCCTTTTCACTCCTTACACCTGTTGCTCCTGCTGCTCTTGCTGCTCTTGCTGCCTGTTCACTCCTTACACCTGCTGCTCCTGCTGCTCTTGCTGCTCTTGCTGCCTGTTCACTCCTTGCACCTGCTGCTCCTGCTGCTCTTGCTGCTCTTGCTGCCTGTTCACTCCTTATACCTGCTGCTCCTGCTGCTCTTGCCCCTCCTACTGACAAGGACGATACTGATGAGGACTTGGCAGCAGCTGGTTGGTGGTTGGTGATTCCTTCATCAGAGTTAGCTAATAATTTCACTGGACCCTCTGATGACGTGGCGTTTGGACCCTCTGACGTGGCGTTGGGACCAGCTGACGTGGCAAATGAGCGGGGTGACGCGGATTTGAGGGCGGCAGAGAGGGAGGGCCGGAGGGAGGCAGCAGCAGCAGCGCTGACTGCTGCTAGCTGCTCAAGTGCTCGGTTTCTAGCAGCAGCAGGGGCAGAGGCAGAGGCACAGGTAGAGAGAGTCACAGGAATGAAAGGAGCAGAGGTGGAAGGGGCGGACGGGGCAGAAGCAGCAGCAGTAGGAGCAGCAGTGGCAGACAAGAGAGGGCTCTTTGGGCAGTCAAACGACGCGCCGAACAATGCAGCAGCAGCAGAGGCATCACCAGCAGCATCACCAACAGCACCACCAATAGCGCCACCAATAGCACCCGCAGCTACAGCCTCAGCAGCAGCAGCGGCAGCATCAGCAGCGGCGGACGCGAGAGCATCAAACAGCAGAGCAGGCGAGGATGAGACGAACCGTGCTGGCCCGCCAATAGCAGGTGTCATGAGAGAGAGAGCGACCACGCCCCGGTTCTGCTCGTATCTCTGGTGGTGGGCTATATCGTACACACCGCTCATTCCCAGGAAACAGTAGGGCTGCCTCAGATCAGATTCGCCAATAGACCAGAGGTCCTCTCCCTTGAGAGGCCTCAAAGGCTCTCCTACAGACCACAGGTCACTTTTGACGCGCCTCAAAGGTTCGCCTGGAGACCAGAGGTCCTCTCCCTTCAGGTCCTCTCCCTTCAGGTCCTCTCCCTTCAGGTCCTCTCCCTTGAGAGCCTCTCCCTTGAGGGCGGGCTGTGACGATTCTCCCTCCCTGCTGGCGCTGCTGCTGACACTGCTGCTGTCAGCCTCTGCTACAGCCGTGGGTGCTGCTGCTGACGATGCTACATCCTTTCCATGCGCCTGGAACATGCGGCGGAGGGCAGACCTGAGGCGGCGCCACACAACCATGGAGCAGACGTGGGCGCCTGAGGAGTGGCCTGTGAGGAAGATGCGCGAGGGGTCGCCCCCATACTCGTGAATGTGGTCCATCGCCCATGAGAGAGCCCTGGACGTTTCGTGCACCTGGTGGATGGCAATGACCTGTCGGTCAGTAGCAGGGCGGAGAGAGGAGAAGAAGTGGTGGGGAGGGAGGTGGCATGGCGTGTATGGCCCATGAGAGCGCCCTGGACGTTTCATGTACTGTGGATGGCAATGACCTGTCGGTGAGGAGGTGGGATGAATGGAGAAGGTAGGATGGGGGAGGAAGACACATGGTGGATGGCAATGACCTGTCGGTCAGTAGGGCGAAGAGCGGAGAAGAGGTGGGGGGGAGGGAGGTGGCGTGTATGGCCCATGAGAGCGCCCTGGACGTTTCGTGTACTTGGTGGATGGCAATGACCTGTCGGTCCGTAGCAGGGCGGAGAGAGGAGAAGAGGTGGGGGCGTGAATGAGAGATGGGGGGTTGAGAATGCGCGAGGGGTCGCCCCCATACTCGTGAATGTGGTCCATGGCCCATGAGAGCACGCGCGGCTGGCGTTTCTTGAGCCTGGTCGACGCCATGGGCCTGGAAGTGGGGGAGAGAGAGGAGGAGGGGTGTTGGAGAAGACGAGAGAGCGGGAGGAGAAACTGAGAAGAGAAGACGGGGAAGACGACACGGGAGCAGCTCATGTCCTCCCGTGTGCCATTATTGTCAGCAGCAGTCGGAGCAGATGAGCTGAATAATGAGGATGAGGGGGCTACGGGGGTGGGAGGTGGGGCGGGAGGGGGGCGAAGGGAGGGTGTACATGTGACTTACCTCGGGGTAGAGAGTGTACTGAATGGTAACCACCACCGCCCCTGACTGAGCGAATCGGATTGCGAGCGGAGAATACATCCACTTCTCGCCACTCGCCCACACTCCCCCGTGCACAAAAAACACAACCGGCCGCCCCTTGCTTCCTTCGGTGCTGCTGCTGCTGCTGTTGCTGCTTTCTGCTGCATTGCTGTCAAGTGTCAGATCTGGTGGCATGTAGATGTCAAGACTGGGGGGGGCAAGGGCAGGAGGAAAGGCACAGGGGGTCAAGGGCAGAACACAAGTGAGAAGCAAACAAGGATGCATTGTTGTCAGGTGGCAGATCTGGTGGCATGTAGATGGATGTCAAGACTGTGGTAGGCAAGGGAAGAAAGGCTTTCTTCCCTTGCCCAGAGGGTCGCCACCTAAGCGACGTCTCACACAACAGAATATCAGGCATTGGGAAAACCCTAAGATGGATGCATGGAGAATCGGATTCACACAGTAATCCCTGCCATGCCATCTCATCATTATATTAGAATCCGCCCATGCGATCCCATGCTCTCATATGCCATCAAATGCCATCATGATGTGCCATCACATGTTACCACATTGCCTCCAACTAATATCTCATCTCATCCCCATCCCCATCCCCATCCCCATCCCCATCCCCATCGCTCTGAGCCAGCGAGCTTCTCGTGTCATCCCATTCCAAGCCAAGCCATCCCGCCCCATGCCAGCCACGTCATCTCATCCCATGACACGCCATCCCGTCCCATGCCATGTCATCCCATCCCATGCCATGTCATCCCGTCCCATGATATGTCATCCCGTCCCATGCCATATCATCCCGTCCCATGACATGTCATCCCGTCCCATGACATGTCATCCCGTCCCATGCCATGTCATCCCGTCCCGTCCCGCGCATACGTGTTGCGCGGTCGAGGGCCGTAGCGGATATCGTGGACCACTCGCACGCCGCCATGTGGCAGACCCTGCCACAGCATCGCCTCCATCGACGACGCCCAGTTCCACACTGAAAAAACACGTCATGCCACGTCAGCCCCCACGCCATGCCATGTAAGGCCAGGTCACACCATGCCGAGCAAATCAAGCAGAAAATTGGGCAGCGAGGGGAAAGCAAGAGGGCACCGGAGGAGGAAAAAAGGGAGAGGAAAAGGAGAGGTAAACATAATGTTCTTTCGCTTACCGCCGGTAATTTTGCTGTTACGGCGTATCACGGGGGGAAGGAGAATGTTAGTCAATAGCAGCCGAGCAGCATCTCACTTGCTTTGCACTGTCATGTCCCTTCTGAGAATTCCCAAAAGTCGCACCAATGTGCACTGTCATGTCCCCATCTCCCTTCCTCCCTGCACACTCCTCCCTTTCCCTCCCACCTCTCCCCTCTGTCTCTAGTTCCTTACTTCCTACTCCTTGCCCCCATTCCGCCTCACTTCCATCCTCCATTCCTTCCCCATTCCTCCTCCATTCATCCCCCCCCCCCCGGTTCTACCTGTAGACGTCAGCTGCCTTCGCATCTTCTGGATCCCAATTGCCGACCGACGATCCGCGGACGAGCTTTCCGCGTCCCCCACTTCACCGTGCGTGATCTCCCCCTCCGTCGCGTCCAGTTCCCCCCCTCCGCTGCCGCTTCCGCCAATGCTCTGCGGACCTTCCAAGCCGCGCTGACTGGTGTAAAACACGCTCTGATACATCGCCATAGCATGGAACCCGTACGGCGCGTAACCGAACATCCCGACCATCGCTTTCGCGAACGTTATCGCGAGCGTCGTCGCGACGGAGATGCGCTCCCAGACCGTCGCCTGTCGCAGCACCTCCAGCTGCGCGCCACGTGCCGACTCGACGACTAGACTCCCAACCATTCTGCGAGAATCGCTGGATCTTTGAGTTGATTCTAAAACCGGGAGTCCACACAAAGGAGCAAAAGAGCAGTGTGGCGAGCGGTGGAGACCGGCGTGAAAGGGAAGGAAAGCGGTTGGGATCGGAGACTACGCGAGAGGAGACTCTCCTCGGAGGAGAGACTGTGGCGGTTGAGTCAGTCCAGATTTTTGCCGCGAGTCCGTTAGTGCGACACTCAAGCTTGATCCAGTAGAAGCGCACCTGATTCTTCTCTCTTTCTGTTCCCGAGAGTCCGTCAACGTTTGGTAAGTCCTGCTTTCTCAGAACGTCCGTCAACCAGGCTGGCCTTGAATCAAGAGAGATGCTGCTGGGAGCGGCGCGATACAGCGTCGAACTACGCAAGGAACCACGCCGCGTCAATGCGCCAGTTCGACTTGCCGGGCGCTCCCAGCAACTAGTCCCGATCTGACTCTGCCTCCTAGTCTCCCCTCGCCCGCTCCTGAAGCCAACTCTTCAGGTCCCTACAGGAGAATCTATGGGCGCGCACGCATTCCCGAGGGCCCCATTCCCGCAGCACGGGGGGGTCAGTTACAAAACCAAACCGCGCTGTTTACTTTCTTCGTGCAGTCGCAAACACTGTCGCGACCAATGAAATTCCACCCTCGCATTCGCGAATAAATTCCGGCGGTGTTGTGGGAATCGGGTGTGTGCGGTGCAGGTGTGTGTGAGTGGGGGCGGAAGGCCTTAGCTGCAGCACCACGAGTCGATGGAAGGTCTCCTCTCAGCTGAGCTTCCCACAGCACGATGATGACGTGTTGCAGAACGCCGACTCGGCACGGGGCGGTGCACTGGGTTCCAAAGCTTCCATGGACTCGGGAACCTGGTGCGCTGCATCGTCTCGGCGGCAACCCCCAGGGGCGTGCCAGCACGGAGCGGTGCCTCTCTCCGCCTTGGCACGTCACGCCACAGGGCGTGCACTGGCGAGCCCATTGGCTATGGTGGCAATGTCAACGCTAAATCCGACGGAGTGGATGATCCGAAAACAACCCCGTCAACCTCCAAGGTAAAAAGCACCTGTTTGGGACTGGCGAGGCGAGCCCTGGGGTGATGGTAGGAATGTCAACGCGTCTGATATTGACTGCATTCAACATTTTCCTAGGAACTCTTCTATTCAGGTGTATACACATGTTGCCTATTAAAGCTCTACATACTCTTACGTTTTAGGTGTTAAACGAACACTGCGTTTCACAAGCGCTCGTCAACGCTCGCCAAGGGCAAAAACGAGCCTATATAAATAACACAAAATTAACACGTATACTGTTTTGCGTAACAGTGAAGGGTGGCAGCTTTTGTAGTACTCCGCTTTGTGATGTGACTTCGGCATGTTCTATACGTTGAGGGTTTGGCGAACAGCCTTGCCTTTGCAAATGGCATGGCGGGTCTGCAAACCGCAAAAGCTGTGGGCGACTGCGGGTCACAAAATATCATCGGCAGAGATTCGAGTTTCGCCAGAGCATATGCGTATGCTGCAAATGATCGTGCATCATGTTGTCAAACTATGTTTGTATTACCAGATAGGCTGTAGTGAGTTGCATGTTAAGGAAAACAGAAAATATCTCGACAATTTGCTTGTACACCCCCCCCCCCCCCACCCTCCCCCCCTCCCCTCTCCCCCTTTGACATAATCACTATCATTCTCCCGTTCCCAAAGCTCCTTAGTTTACAAGATGGTATCAGATCATGTTCCGATTTAGGACCGTAGTTCTCATCGTCACGTTCTGCCCATGGCGAACAATCCAGCGAGTCATGATGAGTGCAACAGCGACCAGTGTCAGTGACCAACGCCACAGTGCGCACGCCAGTGTGGCCAGCAGGAGCGCCAGCCCCTTCACCCTCCCGTCAATCTACCCGTCGCCCAGCGGCCCGACCACGCGCATGCCCACCTGCCAGCATGCCAGAAGACCCGCGTGTGAGGTGGCGTGGGGGTTTGGTCGTCATAATCTTTCAGGAACATCACTCGCACCTTGCCACGCCTCTCCCGCGATTGTTGCTGTGAGGGGGAGGTGGCGGGGATAGGGGGAGAAGGTGAAAGGGTGGCGTGAGTAAGCCGACAGCACCAGCGCCACTACAGCCCCTACCCGCGCCCCGCCCCGTCACGTATTGTGCCCTGCTCTGCCGCCTGTGCGCGCAGCCCTACGCACGCCGCCGTGCACGAGTAGACGCGAGCAGCAGCAGCTGTACGCGCACCCGCAGCTGCCTACACACTAGGAGCCACGCGCAGCAGCAACAACTTCATGTTCCTTTGCTACGCACTGCTGCCCGTGCTCCTGCACGTGCTCCATCACTAGACTGTTTCTAACCGCTTCTTACCGCTCTAGACCGCTCTCCATCGTGCTAGACCATACTCAACTGCGCTCGACCGCACCTGGTAGTTGCAAATGCAGACGTATCTGCTGTCTCTCCCACTTGCCGTATCCTGCACTTCATGTTCCTGTCATCAACGTTTTCCTACTTGTACTCCCAATGTTGCTAGTCCAAACACTTCTCATTCTGACATGGTATTAAGAGCCTAGGTTAGGGACCTAGGACCGCTTACCTAAGGGCCCACCGTTCCGCTAGAGGTGCCCTCGTGCGCCCTACCGTCTTAGCGCCCTCGTGCGCCTCTCTCCTAGTGCGCCCTCGCGTGCCCTCCTCTCACGCTTGCAGCCCGCTAGCAGCCCGAGCGCGGCCCCGCGTTTTTAGCGCGAGTAGCCCGTTAGCCGCCTAGGGCGGCCCGATTTTTTCTCGCGCGCGCCAGTAGGCCGTCGCGCGTAGGCCCCGCTCGCCCCTAGGCCGACGCTCGACCCACCGCCGCCCGCCCGCAGGTCGCAGCCCGCGCGCAGCGGCGATCGCGCGTCGGCTGCTGCAGCTCGCGCTTAGCCGCCGCACG